TGCTGGAAGATGTAGAGCTTAGCTTCTGCTCCTCTTCTCCAGCCACCTCTGCCACCATGCCTTCCCACCAAGACGGACTGTAATTCCCCTGGAACCGTAAGCTCAAATAAATTCTTCCTTCTATAAATTGCTTGGGTCAGTGTTTCTATCACAGCAACAGAAAAGTGACTAATACAGTATGTTCAAAATACTTAACATATAATCAATATTTAAATTAGTAACAAAATAGTCTATATCCTTTTAGCATTATGTATTTTCTATCTATAGCACATTTCAGTTCAGATAGACCATATTTAAAATGCTCAACAGGCATACATGGCTAGTGATTGCCATGTAAACAGCATAGTTCAAGATCTGACTCCCAAGCTAGTAGAAATATGGGAAATAAAGGATTGTCTTCATCCAAAGACACAATTCATCTAATCAAGAATTTGTGGAACTCTAAAGAACTCAGTGTCTTCAACAAATAAATAGTGAGGGAAGCTAGTTTTGGTGGTGCACATTTGTAATCCCAGGATTAAGGAGCCTAAAACAAGAGGATCACAAGTTTGAGGCCACTCTGGGCTACACAACAATAGCCTGTCTAAAACAAATAAGTAACTAAAAGGGTGGGGATATATATAGCTTAGCAGTAGAATGCTTGCTAGCACATTCAAGGCCCTGGGTTTCCCCCAGTACCAGAGGGGGGAAAACAGAGCAAATTAAAAGGGGAGAAACATTTATATGATTAAAAGATTATTTTGAGTTGGGCGTGGTGGTACACACCTTTAATCCCAGCACTTGGGAGGCAGAGGCAGGCAGATCTTTGTGAGTTCAAGGGCAGCCTGGTCTACATAGTGAGTTCCAGGACAGCTGAGGCTACAGGGAGACCCTGTCTCAAAAAGACCAAAAAAAAAAATTATTTTGTTGTTCTTGTTCTTTTTTTTCTTTAATTTTAGATTAAAAGATTTTTAAGGGACATATTAATCAGATGCAATCTGCAGACCCTGCTTGAGTCTTGATTTGAAAAAAAGACTTTTGTTGGTTTTTTTTTTTTTTTTTTGAGACAAGAATCTCTCTGTGTTGCCCTGGCTAGCCTGGAACTCAGAGATCTGCTTGCCTCTGCCAGTGGAGGACAGAAGAGGGAATTGCCTGCCTCTGCCTCCCAAGTGCTAGGGTTAAAGGCATGTGCCACCACGCCCAGCCTTGATAAAAAGACATTTCTATAGTCAACTGAGGAAACCAAGTATCAGAGACTATCTTTTAGACGATATTTTAGAGTCATTATTGGTTTGAGCGATATGATGATGCTTCTGTTGGGCATACTAGTCTTTACCTATTAAAGTATTTACATGTAAAACAATGTCACATCTGGAATTTGCTCTAAAATATTCCAACAAAATAAAAATGCAGGAAAATGGGAGATGAAAGAAAAATGGCAGAATGGTATCACGGGGACGGTGCACACACGGGAGCTTACTGATTTCTCTACTACTGTGCTTGTTTGAATGCTCCGATGATTAAAGCTTAAAAATAAGTGTGAGAAAAGTAAAATCAGGTGCTGCAGAGATGGTTCAGCAGTTAAGAGCACTGGCTGGTCTTGCAGAGGACCTGGGTTCAGTTCCTAGCACCCACATAGTGTCTAACACCTGTCCTTAACTCTAGTTCCAGGGGATCTGACACCCTTTTCTGGCCTTCACAGGCATTACATGCATGAGTGAGCTCACATACATGCAGACAAAACAGTCATACATAATAAATTTTTCTTTAAAACTTACAAAAGAAAACGTAAAATTAGTTTATCACCTTGTGTCAAACTTATCAAACAGTACACTTTAAATATGAGTGTACTCAATACAGCTATTTAGTAAAACAACGCATTATGCAACCACACGGAACCTAGTGTAGATGTGTTCGCATGCGCTATCTCAGTGGATGACGGAGACAATGTGTTAGAACTTTTCTGTTATAAAAAACTTATACTGAATTTTACCTACCTTACTCGTAAGCTAGTGAGTGAGCCCGTTATCATTTTAATGGTGTTGACAGAAGACACAGACAGATAAATGACCTTCTGAGTCATGCTACAAGCAGCGGCCTGACCATGAGCAAGCTTTCATTTCAGGCCACCCTGAAGGTGACATCCACCCTGAAGGTGACATACAATGGCCCAGGTGGGTGCTTGCACACAGTAGGTCTTCATTACTGCTAAGGCATGTGGAGTTTGTGAAAGCCATTACTTTCATAGCAAGCAATATGTTTGCTTTTTGTCCTGGGGGGAGACAGCACCTCATCCCTCACAACTGCGTGCTATAAACCTAACTATGGGAAATGGCTCAAGAGCGGCCAGGGCTTTATGCTCTTGTCTGACTCAGCAACAGGAACAGAAGCAAGGGAAAGCCATGAAGAACCATCTTTTTCAACAATTTTAAATTTTATTTATTCTTATTTTATGTGTATGAGTGTTTTTCCTGCATGTATGTGAATACACCGCACATGTAACGCTCATGGAGGCCAGAAGGCAGTGTCAGATCCTCTGGAACTGGAGGTACAGATGATTGCTAGTTGCCATGTGGGTGCTGGTAACTGAACCTGGGTTCTCTGAAAGAACAACCAGTGCTCTTAACCACTGAGCCACCTCTCAATAATTTTTGATGACATTATTTGATTAAATCCAGAGGCAACTATAGTTTCAGGCATGGCTGGACCAAGGCTCACGGGCTTGCTTTTCTCTCAGCTTTTTCCCTCTGTGTTAATGTTACTCTGAGACAGACCTTTTGTGTGGTATGATTGCCTACCACTGACTGCTGGGTCTACTTACCTCTTCCCTCATCTGTGGCCCAAGGTAAGACTCCGCTATTTGGCCAGGGTCTAGGTGGTTGGGCAGTTTTGGCATTACATAAAACATTATCTGCAAGAGGCCCTATTCATATCATATGTGCCATAGATTTGTATATGAACTGCAACAGTTCTAATACATGGAAGTGTCTAGGTGGCCTGGGTCACGTGTCTAACCTCCAGCAATGAAGTCAATCTTATCCAAATCACAGAGTGGTTCCCCAAAGTGACACTGAGTGACATTTTTCAAGAGTGGGAGCCAATACTATGCACACAAAGACAGCAGACATCACTACACATCAGTATTATTACTATCAAATTCCAAATGAAGACATTGAGAGTCATAAGCTACAGGAAAGGATAGTCTCAGACCCAAAGCTATATGAGCCCAGTAAACACCCAGTTTCCACTTTAATTCCCTGCCCTTACTGCATCAAATCTAATTACTTCCTGCCGATTGAATTCTCATATTTACCACTGTGTTGGTTAATACTGATCGTCAAATAGATGGGATTTTTGAATCGCCATGAAAATAAATCTTTGGATCTCTTAGTGAGGGATTATCTAGATTAAGTTAAATGGAGAAGACTCACCCTAAATGTGGGCTGTACCACTGCGGGGGAGGGGAGACCAGGGCTGAATGTAAAGGAGGAAGAGGGAAGACCCACCCTAAATGTGGATGATATCATTCCAGGGGGCATCCAGGGCTGAATGACAAGGAGAAAGACCTGCACACAAGCCCTTGTTGCTCTCTGCTTCCTACGGAAGCACTGTGTCCAGCCACTTCCTGCAATTGCTGCCATATTTGCCATGACAGACCATAGCCCTTGGAACTGTAGGTCAAAATAAACCTTTCCTTCCATAAGTTGCTTTTATTAGGTATTTTGCCACAGCACCAAGACAAGTAACTAACACAACCACCTAACCTCAACTCCCACCACTCACAAAGAATGTACCCTGAGCAGTCATTACTGCCTTCATTCATTTGACGAACCTTTCTATATTCATTTGAATAAACATGCTACACTCGAAGCCACATATTACTTTAAAGACAAGATCAATACTTTACCATAATAATCAGTAAATTACAAATTCTCTCCCCCTAAAATCAAACATTCAATATTTATTTGTACTAACCCAAATCATCACTCAATTTCCCCAGTGGTGAGGAGCCAGAGGTCATGTCATTCCTCACAATACATAAGACATTTTTAGGAGCATCAGGCCAGCCCTAAATTTCTCTCCTTAGAATTTGTTTTCACCCACAAATAAGCAACTGGCAGCCATATCTGCTCTGGGAGCTTGTCTGCCTTAGCTGACTGCTGGGAATAGTCATCTGGCCTATGCTGGCCAAGTAGATTTTCTCTCCTGAGACTTGGACCCGAATCTGAGATCTAAGATGCTTTATCTTGCTGGAGAGGGAGCTAGAATAGAAAACCATAATTCAAAATCTGTGTTCTGGGAAGCAGCAATAGCCAGAAAGAGAAAGGGAAAGACATGAGTAAATTATTCACAAGGAAGAACTGGAAAGCATAAGCTGCCTGCTTCCTGGACCTCTCCAGCACCTGATTCTTGGTTCATAGGCCTGCTGGCACTGCCTTGCCTAGTTTTCCAGGCAAGACATCCCCAAATCTGCCTGAAACAAGTTCCATTTTGTGCAAACAAAAGAACACATAGCAGACCTAACCTAACACAAGGTAACATTAGTTTTTACACTTGGTGAATAAGCCCCAATACGACAAATGGCTTGGGTCTCATAACTCAGGGTTCCAGCATTCATTTCATGACACTACAACAATACACTCAGCCCTCCGTGTTCAAAGGTTCTGAATCTGTGTATTCAACTAACCATGAATGAAAAATACTTGAAATTAAAAAAGCAGCATCTGTACTGAACATATACAGACTTTTTGTTGATTATTCTCTAAGCAATAAAGAATAACAACGGTACTGGAACAACAGTAGTAATTTGCACTGTGCTGGGCATTTTAGGCATTTTAGGTAATCTAAAGGCTTAAAGTTATGGAAGTAGGTTATATACAAATACCGCTTAAGTTTATATGAAGACTTGAGCATGGATTCGGGTGTAGGGGAGCATCTTGGAATCAATTCCCCATAGATATTAAGGGGTGACTGCTCTAGAGACTAGGTGGTTTATAAAGATTGAAGGTTTGTTTGAGCTCAGAGGTCTGGAAGCTGGGACGTCTAAGCTGAAAGGCAGTGGATGCTCGAGGAAGAAGAAACACACATGGGGCAGACTCCCTTTACAAAGTAACTGGTCCTAGCTCCCCAAGAATAATGTCAATGCCTCTTAAAACCTCAATCACCTCCTGAAGGCCCCACCACCAATGCTACAATGACAATCAGTCTTCAATCAGTTTCATATGGAACAACTATATCCAAGTCATAGCATATGACATCTACCTATTAATTTGCCAGGGTTATGTTTGTGTTCTGCAACTGGCAAAAAAAAAAAAAAAAAAAAAAAAAAAAAAAAAAAAAAGTTGGAGGAGAGGCTGGTGAGGGTGGTGGGAAGCAGAGCACAGGGGACTTGTGCAGGGAGAGCCTGGTAAAGGCAGGAGCAGAGGGGATGGTGTGCAGCGCCACATATGCAGGATGCCACAGAAGCAGCACTAAGCTGGAATGGAGGGAGAGAGGATGGCTCCTGAGTCTCAGCAGGCAAATAAGGGCGATAACTGGATCATTCACCAAGTCCAAGAAAACAGAAAAGAAAAACAGCATGTCTGTAGGGACCAGGGAATTTTGTGGGAAAGGGTACATGTCCAGGATTCTCTACCTTTTTTGAATTTCTCCAATACGAACACCCAAGGTGACCACCTTTGAAAAATCACCTTCTTTCCATTATGGAGCAACAGTCTCCCTTTTAATACCACCCTCCTTTCAGACTTAATGACAGCTTGTTACTGGATTTTTAATAGAATGAAATTGATGCCAAAGGAAAGGGATATTCTATTTAAAACCTCAAGGTTATTTCAATTTTGCTGGTTCTTAGTGATCCACATTCTGCTTTGGGCCCAGCCAACACGGATGAAATCTCTGGGGACCCCTAAATTAGGCATAAGCAGGTGGGGCCTGGGACTCTGCCTCTGCCTTTCTACACTTTCCAGGCTCTCAGACTAAGAATAGGAATCTAAGAGCAGTCCTGGGACAGGTGGCTGACATGCAACTCTACCTCAAGAGCAATGGCTGGGCTAGAGAGATGGCTCAGTGGGTAAGAGCACTTCCTGTGCAAATGTGAGGACCTGAGCTTGAATCCCCAGCACTCATGTAAAAAGCCAGGCACAGCTGTGGGTATTTGTAATGCCACTAATAGGGGAGAAGGGGTGAGAACAGGTGGATCTTGGGCGCTCACTGGCTACCTAGCTCAGCCAAATGGTGAGCTTCAAGTTTAACGGAGCAATAGAAGAAGACAACTGATGTCCTCTGCCATCTACACGTGCACACACACGCATGTGCTCCATGGAAGTGCACACACACCACACAGAAAGGGGATGACCATGAAAACAGCTTACATCTTGAGGGCTGGACAGATGGCTCAGCAGTTAAGAGCACTGGCTGCTCTTGCAGAGGAACAGGGTTTGATTCCCAGCACCCATATGGTGGCTAATAACCATCTGTAACTCTAGTTACAGGGGATTCAACGCCCTCTTCTGACCTCCGTAGGCATTTCATGACACAGGTGCACTTACATACATGCAGGCAATACACTCACACATAAAATAAAAAATAAAATAAATAAAATATATGTATATATGCAGTAATGATAAATAACTTTTTTAATATTCAAAGGCAGCCTGGGGGGGCCTGGAGAGATGGCCCAGCAGTTAATAGCGCTGACTGCTCTTGCAGACGACCGGATTCAATTCCCAGCACCCACGTGGCAGCTATGAACCATCCTAGACTCCAGTTCCAGGGGAATCTGAAGCCCTCTTCTGACCTCCACAGCATTGCACGACATGGGTGCACTCACATACATGCAGGCAATATGCTCATACACATAAGAAAATAAAAATAATAGATAAAATATTTTTTTAAAAGGCAATATGGGAGTAGAACTTGGAACCTTGCAGAGAGGAAACAGACAAGCTGGGGAGCTTGGGGCTAGGTGAAGCACAAACTCAGCCCCAGGCAGGGGTGGGGGTGGAACTGTTGTGGTCATTGGTCAGCTGATCAAGTGCAAAGCCAAGGATAAAAATCAAACATTAGCTTGACTCCTTAGGGAGTTAACTGACTAAAGGGGTCATAATACTAATGATCTTAAACAGTGCTTACTGTACATCAATGCACATTACACTTAACCCTTATAAGAACTCCATTTGCTAGTACCCCATTCTACAGATGAGTCAAGTAAGGATCTGGGTTTAATACTTAAAAGCAGATCATATAGTAGGGAGAGAATAGTGTTCTGATCTGAACACAGTCTGGTGTTTTAAAAATTATTTTTATTTTATATGTATATTTGCTGCGTGTAAATACACCTGCATGTGTAATGCCCACAGAGGTCAGAATAGGGGGTCAGATCACCTGAACTGGAGTTGAGTGGTTGTTAGCAGCCATGTGGGTGCTGGAAACTAAACTGGATTTTTTGCATATACATATATATGTATGTGTATACATACCTATATATACACACACATGTCAAGGTCAGAGGACAACTGAGTAGACTCGGTTCTCTCCATCCAACTTTAAGTGGGTTCTGGGAATTGAACTCAAGTCATCCGGTTTGTGCAGCAAGCACTTAACCTGCTGAGGTGTCTCACCAGCCCTGAATGAGTCTTGTTACAACACTGATTTCAGGGGCTGGAGACTTGGCTGAGTGGTTAAGAGTGCTTGCTGTCCTTCCAGAGGACCCCAGTTCAGTGCCCAGCATCCATGTCAGGTGTTTCACAATCACCTATAACTCCAGTTCCAGGAGTTCCAATGCCCTCCTGGCCTCTGTAGGCACACACGCACACACACACACACACACACACACACACATAAATTAAACTCTTTCAAAACAAAACAACACCGGTTTCAGCAAGTCACCTCCCAGACCCAAAGACCTGGCTGAAATCCAATTCTTTCTAAGACAGTGCAAGGCCCAACTTTTCTGGCTGGTCGACTGATCTTACTTGTGGCACTTATTTTGGTATCAACCCCCACAGCTCAGTAAATCCTACACTAAATGACTCCAGGAAAGCAAGGATGTCTTTTTATAAGAACACAAGAAACACACACACAAATTCTCACTGTACAAAAAGTAAGAGACTTCCAGAACCTTAGAAACAATAAGTAAAAACTCCTCCGTGTCCATTCAGTCTCCCTCCCCAGAAACAATCTGGTCCATCCTTCGCCATTCTCCAGAACTCTCTATGCCCTATTAAGCAAACAGATTAAAAAATAGTAGTTTGGTAACTTTTACATAACTGGGATCATTCAGGGGCTTTTTGGCTGCAGTTTTATCTTCATGTAACAATTAGTTTTAGAAATCTTTTCTATATTGCACAGGATTCTGCAGGATGGCTTTCCATAGCTCATTTTCCTGTTGATAGACACTGAAGCTGTTTCCAAACTAAATAACTATTGTATTTTATCATGTCTCCCACAATACTGAATTACCATTTTAAAAAACATAAATTTTAATAAAAATAAAAATTCTGAAAAAAAGAATTCTGGTATTACTGGTACTCAACATTTCTGTTTTTACAGCTATAAACAATAATAATCATCAAATTGTAATCCTAGATTTATGCCTATGTAATACTATAATAAAAATCACTTAAGGGGGAAAAATAAAAGTTTTACATTTTGCATTTATTTTTATATACAACTTTTGTGACTTTGGACAGGTGTATTAGTTACATGCTTCTGGATAACAAATTATCTGGAAACAGTGATGGTTTAAAACAGTAAACAAGTGTTACCTTAGGCTTTTTTTTTTTTGAAGATCAGCTCAGCTGGGCACTGGGCTCTGGGTCTCATAAGGACAATCAATGGTCTGTCAGGCTTGGCTTACGAATCCACTCCCAAACTCCCCGTTGGCAGGGGTCCCCAGTGCCTGGTGGTCAGAGATATCAGTTTATCGCCTTATGGAGCTTTGTATAGTTTCACACAAGATGATAGCTAGCTCATCCACAAAGAAGGCCCAGGGAGCAGCGTAGACTTAATGCTTTGCACAGCCCCAAAAGCATACTGAAACTCTACTCCCTAATGGGATAGCACATTAGGATAATTAAGAGTAGATGAACTCATAGAAGAGGCTAATGTCCTCATAAGAATCCCAAAAGAACACAAGTCCTATCTCAGAGCACGAAGACTAGACCTTGAACCTGCAGGCCCTGTCCTTGGGCTGCCCAGTCCTACACAACTGTGTGAGAGAAACTTTTTATTTTTTCCACCTTCTTTACGGCAGCTCAAGCTGACTAAGAGAAACAAGGACCAAGAACAAGAAATCATAGTCTTTTGTAACACCTCAGAAATGACATCTTATTGCTACTCTAGTCATTTGAAGGACTTTTTGTCCTAACTAACGGAAAGGGCTGCCAGGCAGGCACATGCCTTTAATCCCAGCACTCAGGAGACAGAGGAAGGCAGATGCCTGTGAGTTCAAGGTTAACTTTGTTTACATATGGAGTACTAGGCCAAGGCTACATAGTGAGAGACTAGCTCAAAAATAAATAAATAGGATTACACAGGGTCAAGCCCAGGATGAGTGACCACTGGGAACCATCTCCAAGGCTGCTTCCTATAAGTACCTCATCTATAAACATCAAACTTATAAAAGACAGTATGAGGAACAAAATAATTAAAATATACAAAGTTCTTAGAATGACACTAGAACATTAGCTAAGTATGGGTACAAAACCATGCAAATAGAACCAGACTTGGGGCCCACACCTATAATCCTACATTATGGAGGCAGAGGCAGGAGGATTTTAAATTCAAGGACAGTCTGTGCTACCTAGTTAGCTATTATTAAAAACAAACAAACAAGAAAGCAAATACAAATTACTTTGTGCAATTCTAAGTGCTAAGTCCACATTGATTGTTCAAGAAATACAGGTAAACCCATAGTTATTCAGAAGTTCAAGTATTTTGAGCATGTGGAAATTACCCCAGAAATAGAGACACAATATAAAGCCATCATAATGACCAAGAGGCCTATAGTTACCCCAAATTTCCCATAAACTTTCCCCTTATCAAAAATTTCCAAGTTCCAATACATACCTGAATCATTTCTAAACCAAAACAGTAAAGGCCTACTCGGTTTTGCTCTGTAAATGCAAACTACTTGCCTAACTGCAGAAGTTGCCCAGTTTGTAAAACCACATCATTTGTAAGTTACAGAAAGAGGGGTGAGCTGTAGGCCCAGTGAAGTTCTTATCATTGTGCTCAGCAGTGTAGGTGAGATTAGGGGCTCACTGTGAGGAGATTTTGTTTGCTTTTTCAAATAAGATTAGTTATCAGAGTTAAGGCATTCCTAAAGAGCCAGGCTCTCTCCACCTGTCCTCAATAAGCCAATTAAAGAGACCAGTGAAAAAGGAGGAAAGGGTTTATTCAATGTGGCCGGCCACATTACCAAGAACATCACCAAGATGCTGGAAACTCCCCACTGCCACCCAATACACACCCAAGTCGATGTCTGGTATCCTGATGTGAGCTTTAGTTTAAGCAGAGGGCCAGAGGTATGTATACCTAAGCAGTGTGGACAAGGCGTAGTCCTGCCCATCACTGACCCATCACTGTCTCAGTGCCATTCTCTCCTGCAAGGTGGTCAGAACTGTGAATTCTCAGGTTCCTCCTCTGGCTGCCCCCCTCCCCCGGGCTTCAGCCTCCTTTACTCAGCATGAAATTCCTGGGGAAATTCTAATTTCTTGGAGACTATAGTCTGATAAGTCAAAAGACAAGACACCCAGGCATCTCTTTCCAATACTCTCATTCCTGCCAGGATTACAGACTTGGGCTGAGATTTTAAGGAAAGAATTCCTCTACACACCCCCAATTTTACAGCACAGAGCAGGAGATGGGTAAGGAGAGGCATCCTGATTCATTAATCTGAGACTCAGTGTATAGGAGGTTAACCTCTCATCCAGATGAGGAAAATGACTCATGAGTCAGGAGATTACAAAAGGCTCACCCTGCCTCCCTGAAGCCCAAAAGTCACCCATTAAACACAAGCCCAGACATACCAATACTCCCCAGGGCAAACAGACCTCAAAAGTAGTCAATTCAGCACACATTTGAACTCACTCATGAAACGGGAGCTCTGGGTTGATTGCTCTCCCCATAAGAGCAGCTCAGGCTCACAATGCCAACGCACAAATGTGCAAAGTCCACCTTTCTTCTCATTCAAGCCCCTTAGGGAAGGAGGAGGAAGGGGAACTGGAAAGACCAGCTGGGAATCGTGAAAGGTCACTGATGTGATGACCAGCAGGCCTGACCCTCTACTCTCGCTGCTCTCAGCACCTGCCCAGAGGCTTTCCCCTGCTTTTGCTTTTGTTCTTTAATTACCCTGGCCAACTCAATCAAGAGTGTAATCATATGAGAGAAAAAGTTTATACCATGAGGCATCTGCCAGGGTAAGAGTTGATAGGTTAGTTGTAATTTTAGAAAAACAAATCCAATTCTCCTGGCAGAGGCTTGCTTTTCCTGTTCTTTTTTCCCACGGTTTGTGAGATCACACTTCATTTTGAATGATCAGGGCCTGTGGTGCTAGACCTGAGAGTGCTTGTCAACATGGCCAGGGGCAAAGCCCATACTTCTGCAGTAAACATCATCATACTCTGGGAATGAGGAGTCCCTGACAGAGGCCAGAGGTCAGGGCCAGGAAGCACATTCTGTCATAAATTCCAATTGTTAAAGTTCTAACTTGAGTACAAAATTTATTTTCTCCAATAAAGGTGAGACTAGTGGGTGTTTTTTTTTTTTTCTGTCATTTCTGTGTTCTTTATGTCAACGAAAGTGAAAATGGAATAAACAAAATATGACTTACTTTTTCTCTCAAGACCAGCTAAATTTAGAAAGAACTGATGGGGCTGGAGAGATGACTCAGCAGTTAAGAGCACTGGCTGTTCTGGCAGAGGACCGGGGTTTGATTTCTAGCACCCACATGGCAGTTAACAACCATCTGTAACTCCAGTTCCAGGGGCTCCAATGGCCTCTTCTGACCTCTGTGGGCATTGCATGGACATAGGTAGACTTACATACATGCAGACAATACACTCACACACACAAAATAAAAATAATAAAGTATTTTTTTAAAAGAACAAATATGAAGCTTGCCAACAGAGTGCAGGGCCTCATTACTGGCTATGCAATTGCTTGCTAACTCTGGTGAGTGACCTGATCATTGCATCCTGGCCAAAGTAGGAGTAGGAGGCAGCTGAGAGGGACAAACAGATGAGAAGGGCTCTAGAGCAGACTCCAGCCTTCTTAGCTGTGTGACTCTAAGCAAAGGAAGTCCCCTATGTCTCCATTTCCTCAGCTGTAACTACAGTACCCATCTTGTAAGGAGCCTTCAAAATACTAAAGGCCATCTTTGCCCACACAATAAGGGCTCAATAAATATTAGTCATTATTTTATAGTCTCCACAGCACCCATCTGGAAGTCCAAGTTCAGCGACACTATGAAGCTTAAAAGAAAATCCATAGGGGCTAGGGAGATGGCTCAGTGGTTAAGGGCCACTGACTGCCCTTTTGCAGAAGACCCAAGTTTGATTCCCAGCACCCACATGGCAGTTAATAACTGTCAGTAACTCCAGTTCCAGGAGATCTGACGCCCTCTTCTGACCTCCTCAGGCATTGAACAACAGGAGTGCACTTACATACATGCAAGCAAAACACTCATACACAAAAATAAAAACTTTAAAAAAAAATCCACAGGCAAACACCTTATTCACTCAGTTGCTACCCATGTGCTAGACTCACATGCCTAGTTCCCTTCACACAGCTGGCCCAGTTCATGTGAAATACAGCTTCTCTGTGCTTTCCACTACCACAACCTCTCTTTTTTTTTTCCTTT